AATACAGTATTAATATAAAATATTTTACAGCCACGAGTGAATACTTTTGACACGGAAAAATGATTACTGAAACTCAAATTTGATGATAATGATTTTATTTTAATGGAAGACAGAACAACTGCAGAGCCATCTAGCACAATAATTCACTAGCTAGTAATATTAATTACAGACTTCTTTTTTATTTCGAGAAATATGATATAAAAAGATCCCTTTTTTTTTTTCTTTTTAAATAAAAATCGCAAAATAGTGGCGATAGTCTGTATACGAGAGCACACTAATACAGAGAAAGTTAACCACCCTTGAAATAAGAAACTTTAGGATGAAATTGATCAGTACACGAAGCCTCATTGAACCGCAAGATTGGTAAAATCTCGGTTCCCTTATTCAATATCTTCAAGTAATACCAGTGAGAAAATAATTTTAAAAGTTGAGACTCTGAAGTAAATTAACGTAATGCGATTATTGGATTATCGGTGCGATACAAGATATGAAAAATTTTCATAACAAATTAATAATTTCGTCCGTCCGGAAAAATTTGAGAAATTTCAACACATCGTATTAGCCGTGTTAAAGTTCGAATTGATTAATTGAGATCCACTATGATGGCGTCCAGACACAATTATTCGAAAATTATTTCTGAATATTGCGTTAACATTTAATGTATCCATTAACCTAACGAGGCAATCGTCGATCGCCGTAATGGCAAAGAAATTCAATCAGAAATCCTCGTTTCTTTGATCGTGACTTCGTTACACCATGGAAATCGAGAGAATCATTAAATTAACCCATCAACGTTTACGAGGAGTTTTAATTGATACGAAAAGTTTAAATATTTTGTAATCTCGATTTAATTTTTTCTTATCGATTTCTCACTTTTTTTTTCCATTATATAAAAATTAAATAGTTATTTCTAATATAATAATTGCGATTGAAGATGAGAATGAGAATTTGAAAATAAATTTAATTATACGAAACAAAGAGAAATCGATAATATTAAAATTTTCATTGAATTATAAATGTTAAATGAAAAATCAAATAATGGTACTAATATATTGTTATTTGTATTGACAAATATATTGTTTCCTAATTTTCATTTCACAATTGAATTCAATGACTGAAATAAATTTATAATTTATGCAATTTATATGATTAATTGTTCATTTATTAATTTTGATTCTTGAATGTTAAAATTATTTGTCAACTAAAATTTTAATAAATAAATCATTTAAACAATATGCTGACAACAATTTGCTATTTTTTTTTTTTAATTATACGTTATTCTAAAAATATTATTTTAAAAAAAATAATAATAATAGATAAGACAATATGCGAAAATTATATATATTTATATTAAATTCATAATTTTCCTAATTAATATGAATTTGGAAAATCTAAGTGTAATAACATTATGTTTAATATAAACTTAGGAAACTTGAAACTTGAACTTGAGAAAAGTATTGGAAAAGTATTATAATAATACTTGCTCTTATCTTATACCCTCCATTATTCTCTTTACTTCATCATAATAAACTCTTCTTTAACAAATTATCAAGTCTAATTAACTTAATAACTTGACAATAAATTTCAAGATAACTTTTATAAATTGATATCATATTATAAGAATAAAATATGAATAAAATTCATAGATGAATTTTTACATTTTGAAAATTCTACTCAATCTATTTTCTTTTTTTTTTTAATATTATAGTTTGAATCTTTATAATATTGTTTTCATAAAAGTATTACAATTATTTATAAAATACTATATAAATTCAAATTTTTCAAATTTTAAAAATTTACAAAATTAATAAAACGAATATTCGTTCAATTTTTGATTTATCGATAAATATTTTAACACTTTAGCGTATCGAAATATTGTGTCATGTTTGGAAATTCACGAATATGACGGACCACAGGAAAAAATTAATAGATACTGACCTAAATTACTAGGAGAGATTAAGTCTTGCCGGCTTAATATTCAAGATCGCGTTTTGGCCGTCGCGTGAGCGTGAAGAAAGAAAACGAGAGGTGGTTCATGGATGAGGGGTAAAAGGGTCGCTACAAGGTTCTTTCGCGTCTCCTGAAACGAGCAAGCTTCTCGCTACACTTTGAACGATGCTCGAACTTTTTTCATTCCTCGCTACCTTTCGAAATTAGCAGGAACCCGTTTTGCAGTGGAAAACCTCGTTGCCCCGATTTTTCAATCCAGATTTTTCATCACTTCGGGATGATTTTTTTTTTCAAAAATATATCCCACTTTTAATATCTCATTTTTCAAAATATAGAATTATCATCGATAAAAAGAAAGTGCAGTTGTCGATTGTTATAGCACTATAGCGTACGTCCTTTTCTCATTAGCCTATTGTATCGAGAATACAGACATCTGGCGCCCTCTACCATGACTGAAACAATTAATACTTGCTCTCATATCGATGAAATTTTATAAGTCGAATGATAATGTACTAATGGAAAATTTAATAATGAAAAAAAATATATAAATACGTAATGTATTTATGTTCTAAAACATAAAAAATTCATTGAAAGCGAATATAATTTATATAACCTTATTATATGTCAAAAGTAAATATTTTTATTATGTGTATATAATACTTATGCGTTATTTATGTTTTCTTTGGCTATTAAAATGCTGTTTGCAGAGCCATCTAACGAATCTAATCATTTCACTACGTCGTTTTATTGACAAGCGTTGATTAACTCTCTTCTTCTCGTTAGAAAGGGGACCTTAAATTCTCGAGGACTATCATCGTGCTCGACATCCCGACGAAATTACCGCGAAATTTTCGTGCGACACACCATGCGGCTGGGTCTGGTCGTTAAGGCGCGCAATTAAGGCGAACGATGGCTCACCCCTTGCGCTCGCTAATTAGAACCCCTAAATACTAACGAACCTTGTATTATTTATATCCTACCTCGATTACTACGCCGGACACGCGCACAAATTTATTTGTTGCTAACACAACATTCTTCAAACATTTTAAGCGTTATTTATATTCTACAAAATCTGTAACTGATTCTATAACAACTGATATGAAGAACTTATGATACTCGTTCACTTAATATCTAATTTTCAAATACAATATTCACTCAGGGGGCGCCACAGCACTATACGTGTAATCGGTATCGCAGAAGTCGTAATACCGACGATGGATAATGCATGCACTAGAAAACTACAGTATCAACCGAAATAATTTTCCATATATATTCTATGGTAAAGAAATCGTATTTTGCAAATAAATTTTAATTTATAAACATTGAGAAATTATAATTTATAATGAAATATTTTATAAACCATATTTTATTATAAAAAAAAAAAAGAACAATTCTTTCTTCTCTCTTGAACTATATATTTGTATATATTTCTTTTTAACTAAATTAAAAATTAAAAAATACAATTTAAAACTATTTTTTATAATTTATTTGAAAATTCATTTTCTTTATGTTAAAAACATCGATATCTAGTTAGTTTTTCATTCTCTTTAGAACCATACGAATTTCAATAAAAATGCGAATGCAAATGACCTTTTCTATCTTGAGCTTCTTTTTTTATTAAATCTTCCCCTTTTTCCTTTTTCGATTGAATCGTTACATTCGCCGAAATGTTCGTAGCCTTGACTTCTCCCCATGTTTCCCCAGACGGCAGATAGTAACGAGTCCAAGATAATTGAATTAACTGTACCCCGACTTGTCTCCCTTCAATTACATTTTTTTTACCCTCTCTCTTTTGTCATCCGATCGGATAACATGATTCGTACGTATTGGTGCTCTTTTACGCGACACGTCCAATTATCGCGATAGCAATAAATTCGATTTGAAATCGTTTGCTTTCCAGTTAACACGCCTGGAAATATTTTCTTTGCACTTCAACGCCATCTAGCATGAGTCAATGTACTCTTTTGATTTTAATAGTAAATTCTGCGTAAACGGAATAATATATAATCTTAACCGCGTATAAACTATTATCAGTCGATTGTCATCAACTATATTTTAACAATGATAAATGAGATAATATATTTATATAAACATGAATTTGAAATAACTTTTTTGAGATAACGAAACTCTAATCTCTTTCCCTCTTTTTTCAAATTCTATGGTCTATCCTTATGAAAATTATTCGAAAAATAAAATCCTATCTTGAATATTATAATCAAAATTTCCTCGAAATTGCACAGATATATTAATAATTTTTCTCTCAAGCCTACCATATCAAAAATCAGAAAAAACAATATCTATAAAATCGTTCAATTCTGTCCAACTTCTATTCAGATTGAGTGAACAACCACCGGTCATTGAAGATTCAGCTGATTTATATCGAAGGATGAAGATAAAAGGCAGACACAAAGAGAAGCTTCGAGAAAAATGAGTTTACCAATTTTTTGCTCGTAATGCGAAATCAATGTGACTTTTACAATCATTCGCATGATCGCAATCGTTTTCCCACAAAGAACAGAAAGGAAAGGAAGAGCATGTTCGTCAATTGGTGAAGAGGGAATCGCTCGCAAGCAGAAATTTTCCGTTGGCCGAAGACCAACAATGTCAATGGCTTTTCCAGACAGTTAGCGATGCGTTGGAGGAAGAATTTTATCCGCGGAGAAATCTCGGAGACTTGTGCAATACAGGATGGCAATTAGAGGATCAAACGTCCTGCATCTTCAACGAATAATTGCTACGCGTGCACAGAATCATTATCCTGGAACTGGTTCTGCTGACACGTCTGCTTTTCAGTTAGGGCAAGTGACGTATACAGACCTGACTAGATGGAATTCATTTAGAAAGTACAATTATAAATTTTGATTTAATTTTGTGCTAATATACATTTTTTTCACATAAATATAACACCATGTTTGAAATAATATATACATCCATGTTATTATGCTTATTGGGGGAAAAATTTTCATTTTACAAGACATATCATTCAAATTAATAATTAAATTCGTTATAATTGCCAATTTTTATAAACTTTGAGAGAAATATCAACTTACCTCCAAGTGAGATTCCGATGTGGCCATTGTTGTCCATGGATCGTATACCGTTTATGCCTGACCCTAGTATATCTAGGATCTATTTTATCCGGAAGTCCGCACCGCGGAAGCCTCATTAATTTCATAGTAGCTTCGTCAATATCACCAGTTACAGGAATGCCACCGAATCTCTAATGGAAGAAATAATATAGGATAAAATAAAATTAATTCTATTTTCTAAATATAACAATGTCAATGTTCACAATATAATCATATTTCATAGTGAAACATTCATGGAAAACTAAAGATATTTAAGTACGTTTTAAGTAATATACGTCAATAACAGTTATTAAAATATTTAAAAAAAAGGTGCATATTGAATAACAGGGTGCATTAAAAAAAATAGGGTAACATTCATTCGAGTTAAAATGAAAACGTGTAAATATTTTCTTTTTTTTTTTTTTTTTTTCAGTTTCAGATTTATTTACTTGTAAACTAATTGTATCCTTGTATTCATTTATCCGTTTTTCATTTTAACACAAAATATTTATTTTTAAAGGGAAGTGTCAAATATATATGTTTTAAACAATGTCTTGCTTTAACTATTTTCCAAACGCTTTGTCTTTTTTTCTCCAAATTTTCAAATTACTAATATCTACTAATAAATACGTATTTTTAACACAAAATTATATTCAATATACTCTGCATGCATATCAATTTATTTATATTCTAAACTATTCCCTACCATTTATTGCAATATATAAACATCACCATCTAAAAATAAAATTACTCACTTGTTGACATTCCTCATTATCTTTAAGCAGCAATTCAAAAACTAATTTTTATTCATTTCTCTAAAAAAAAAAAAAAAAATTCTCTAATTTATGGAAACACAAAAATTATCTTTTTTATTAGATCATAAACAAATTCTCATTTCAACCAATTCCAACCAATGATCAATGAATTTTATACAAAAATAGATTTCTCTTTGCATACTTTACAATAATAATAGTAATAATAAAAAATGATAAAATACTTTTATATTTAAAAAAAAAGCGAATCTAAAGTGAATGTTTGCCTAAGAAAAAAAAAAAGGAAAAAAATAGTAGTTTGCTCTCTGTAAAAACTTGTACGAGATCGTACTTTTATCCAGTGGCGCGAAGCCTCGCCAACCCTGTGGAAAAGTTCTTTTCCCGTAGTTGAACAGGACGCGATAACTCAACCGTTCTTTCTGACTTGCCGTTCTCCACTGGGAAAGAGCACTCGAACTTTCAAAGGAGGGCGGGTTTCAGGGATAGGGAACCCGTTTTATTTTTATTCGTGACAAGGAACAACCATCTTTTCCACCCAGGAATACATAATTTCCTCCTTTATCGAGTTCCTTCCTATTGCACGAAAATTCTCTTAACATTATAGGTTATATCACAATGTTATATCGATACTAGCAGTTATTTCGAAAGTATTTCACTTCGATCTTGGGGATCGATACTTAACTTTTCTTTCTTCGTTTAAGTTTTCTTTAATTTAATTTTAAATTTTTTTTTTTTTTTTTGTATACAGCAGTATCATAAAGTGTTTCATTTTAATCCTGGGGATACTTAATTTTTCTTTCTTCTTTGTTCAAGTTTTCTTTATTAATTTTAAAATATTTATTTATTTACTTTTTGGTTTAAGTAGCAGTAGAGACTGCTCCATGTTTAGGCTGGTCTTTTTTTTTATAAATTATTATGAATTATTACTTAAAAATTTATTAGTTTATTATATTATAGTTACTATATTATTAGTAGTAGAATTTTCTGTTTCTCATGATATTCACAATTCACTAGTTTTTATTTTTTGTGTGTCTTAAAAAAAAAAAAATATAATAAAGTAAAGAAATTCCTTTTTATGAATTACTAATGATAGAAACATCTTTCTCTGACCTTTCTGTATAAAAAAAATTAAAAAAATTAAAATTTTATCGACATTAAATATATTTATTATTCATTTATTTAATATTTAACTAATAAAAATACTACAAAATATTGCATTGAAAGAATAATGTGGAAAACATTGAAATTATTTTTCACAGATAAAATTAAAGCTTACGTATTATCGGAAGAATCAAAGCAACTACAGCTTCCGTTTATGCGTTTAACGAGGTCGATTTTCATGTAAATCCTTGCCAGACGAACAATACATCGTTTTTCCTCAATTGTAGATTTATCTTCCTTTTCTATTCATTCTCTCTCTTTCTCTCTTTTTCTCGTTATTTTGACCATCGACTAAAGGATACACTGTTTCGAAGGATTGATCGGTGGGATCATCCAAACGAAACAGGAACACGATTCCACTCAAACGGTTTCGACAATCGAATCCATGGGAATCAAAGTTTTGTAGTGCGATCAAAATTTCAGTGGACATTTGGCACTTGAATATCATTTTCTTGAATCCTTTATTTTGAAATTAATTTCTGCAGTTTCTAAATTCTAAATTCTTATTATTCAAACGTTTTATTAAATTATTTCTATCTTCTTAATAAAAATTTTAGTTTGATTTAATGTTGAATAATTTGAAAAAATTACTTGTATTAAAATAAAATTGTACAAGATTTTATCACAATATTAATATATTAATTGTAGAAATACTAAAAATTTATTATTAAGAAATAATATATTAATATAATAAAGTTATTATTAAATGTTACTCTTATTTAATATGATGTGTAATGACTAAATACTTTTATAGATGATTCTACGTAAGTACTTTATCACATCATTAAATATAGTATTTAACACAAATTTCTTATCATTTATTATCATTATATATCATATATACATATATGATATAGAATGAAATGACGTAGATATCATTTTTTGTATTTCAACTCTTCTATTTTTCATAAATAGATATGATAATATAAAAAGAAGACGTGTAATATAAAAATTATTATTTAACGTCATAGATAACTGTATTTTTCAAATAATAAAATATTCCTTTTTTTTTTTTTTTTTTAAAGTAAAAATCTAAGTAAATAAAATGATAAGACGTAGACAGATATGAAAAGGTTATTTCATTTAATTTTTTCGTGCTTCCGCAATTTCATTTTGTGCTCGATTCGCACAAGGATAGCAGGATTTCTAGCTTCGAAAACATCCTCAAAATATCTCATTCACCTGTAAATTTTTAATGGCATCCGTAAGCTGATCGTCCGTTCTAAGGTTTCCGGTCTCTAGATCCGACTGGGGTAGATATCCGAATTTCATGAGATAATTTTGCTGTAACAGAAAAAGAAAACAAAATGGTAAAATATAAGCGTTGAATACAAATGAAGGAATAATCGAAATACAATACAAACGAATCATCGATGAAATTATTTTCATTTCCTTTGATTTGTAATATTAAATTGACAAAAAAATATTATTTTGTATATTTGTATATATATTTTTAAATATTTATTAAGAATACGAAAATATTAATTGTGTGAAATTTTGTATTAGATTAAAAAGAAATAGATATAGATTAAAAAAGATAATTTAGATAGACCTTATTGTTTTAATGAAAATGTATATATATATATATTTTTCTGATTTTCATTTTTCTATTTTATAATATAATCTTTAAATTCTTCTAATAAAAATAATTGTTATCGAATCTTATATAATATCTTGAGAAAATGATCCAATTCAGAGAAGAGAACTTTAAGTCTACTAAATCTATCGTTTTATCAGGACCTGATTGTGAGATAGAAGATAACTACAAGTATTACTGTGATAGTTCACCGGAAAAGGAACATAACCGTCGCTCCATGGAAAATTGTTACAACATGTAATTGAATGTGTTACAATAGATCTATTTTGTAATAAAGTGAATCAAATTTAAAATTAGGATTAATATTGCTATTATCTCGATATTGTTTATAATATAACTATTGTTTATAATATCTAGTATATCAGCAAAATCATACTGAAAATGTATATCAAATTAAAATAATTATTTTTTTAAACATAACCTCAAAAATTTTTAACATCCAATATAATATTAAATAACATGTTAACGGAATATTTTATAAAAAATTTAAAATATAAAAAGATCAATAAAAGAATTTAAAAAATTGCAATAATGCCAACCAATTCAATTTTACGAAAACTTTCGCAAGAGCTCAACGGGATCGCTAGGTGGTCTCGAATAGTTTCTTGAATTATGTACCCACCTCGCATAAATTTGCTGCAGAAGACAGACGTGCTATGCACAGTTTACTTTGGAAGACAAGTCCACAATCCTGGAGTGATTATAAATTCTAGTTTTGATTCTTTCTGAAATTTATTATTTCGTTTGCTCGACGAGACATAAAATTTCGTATTTTCCATAACCTACAAATATAAAATAATAATTCTGCATCGATGTAGCTAATATAATGCAAAATATGAATATACATCCTTTCTTTTTGTAAATTTCCTTTCTGTTCGAGAATTACTTGAAATTTTAAAAATTTTAATATTAATTGAATTACATTAAGAATAAATTTTTTTTTAATTTTTTCATTATATACATATATAATGTATATAAATTATATGAAAAAAATTTACAAGATCTCAAATATATATTAATAATTGTTTTTCGTACTTTGAACTTTAGATCTTTTATCAATCCAAGAATATATACATAAATATATTTTCAATCGTGAATAATGTTTGATGTATCAATGGAATGAAACAAGATTGAAATATTTACCATGCTAACTTTCTTATGTATATCCTCTCTCTCTTTTCGTTAAGAAAAGGGAAGACTTTTTTCTCACGATATGGTTATAAAGGGAAAAATATGATGGCGAGAAGAGGAGGCGTGACTTTAAGAAAGATTGCGTTATACTTTTTTGAAACGCGATCTATAAACAGAATTCATCTAGTTTCTTTGAGATAAAGATATTTCAATAGAAGAAATAAATTAAATGAAGAAGAAAAAATATATCATTTTTTTCTTAACTTCAACTGATTTTTTTCAACTCTTTCATTTAAAATGAATGAGACTTCAGATTTTAAACTTCAGATTTTCAAATCCAATTTGTTATTTCATTTAATTCCTAAAATCAGATGTTCAACTGTCAGAAAGTTTAGATATAAAATGTATGATTAATGTATTGTATCAATATTTTTTAATCGCTATGAGGTATTGAAAGATTAACACGTTTAACTAGGGTCAAGTGTTTCTTATGTACCGGCAGTGGTTTTCAAACTATGGATCTCAATCCTCTTAGTAGTTGTCATTGTTATTTTTAGTTGATAATCTTCAGTATTTATTTTATTATAATTATATTATCTTGCTCTATCAAGATCATTCTTTTATTAATCAAATGATAATATTATTTATATTAAAAAAGAATGTAATTTGAATATTACATTCATAAAATTTCCAGCATTGCTTCAAATCTTATTCCACCATTGGCAAACTTTTACTGTTCAAATTTTTCTTAAAATTTTTTTGATAATCAAAAAAGTTTCAAACATTCAATTTAACAAACGATTATACCAATTTTTTTAGACTTTTCATCTGAAATATTAAAATTAGAAAATTAAAAATTTATAAATAAATTGTCTTTTTTAAATCTTAATTAAAATATTTTTAATTAAAACTTTAAGAAATAGCAATTACAAAAATTTATACATTTATAGTAATAATATGTTCCAAGTAAAATAAATAAAAGTAGAATGAAGTATAACTGAACTTGTTAGTCCATATATAGGAAACGAGTGAATAAGTGATATCTATCTGGCATTGTTCTCTGAATCTTTCAATTTACTTTGGGAACCGGTTAAACATGGCTACGTCAGTGGTTGCAGTACCATTTAAGGAGGATAATATGTATCGTGGAATGTCATCTGGTAAAGATATTTTTCGGTCGATTCTAGCGTTCCTGAATAGTTTTCCTCCTTGTTCGATTTGTGCCAAGGAGCGTATAACATGTATTCTATACATTTTATTAAATCCATGTTTGGAAATGAGAACGATTCATGAAAATAATAGAAAATTCTTGATAACTCTATATTTGGTAATCGAGGATTTTGCAATAAGAGACAGATCCATGACGAAAATTTAGATTTACTTATGAAATTATTAATATTTAAAAAATGAGAATTGATCGACAAGAAATAATAATTAATAATTATTGAGTTGATTTTTAAATTTGGATTTGCATCAAAAGTCAAAATAATGCTTATTTATAAAATTCAAGAAAATTTGATTCATTATTGTTTTATTAATAAAATATTATCATTTTCTGATAAATGTGAGACAAATACAGATTTGCATTCTGTTATATCATGCGATGTAACTTTTTTTCGAGTATATTATACGTAATAACTCAAAAATTGAAGAAAAGAGATTTGTTCCTTGCTACAAAATTCTAGATTATATCTAATTTTTATTTATTTCATCTTCAAAAAAAGAAAAATTATAATTTTATAATTTTAATATATTTCAACATGCTAGATCAGTCATAATCTCAGTTCATATAATTTTAATAAATTTCATCAAAAAAAAAAGAAATTACAAAAAAGAAAAATTATAATTCTTTGATACCTCCATTTCTGGATCGCGTCAATGCATAAAAATTGGGATTATTAAAATGGCGACGAAGCATTCAAACTTCACTGGTGAATCCGTCGAGAGAAAAGGATTCTCGGAATCCGACAAAGGTACGATCCGTTTGAAAAGCGGAGAAGCTGCGTTGGATTACAATTATGGCCGCTTAGATGCTCGAAACTTTGGCGCATTTGTAACAAAGATATCACGTTCGCACGAGTTGTCAAAGGATTGGGATGAAAAATAAAGAAGGGAAACACTCGAGAGATCGAAATAAGAAATGGTTTCCCAGGCGATGTCAAACCTTCCTCCTTTTCCTTCTTTTTCCTTTTTTGTCACTATCATAATCACCAGTTTTCTTGCCTGAAAATCTGACGTTTCGCGGCTAACTGACACGTTGTTAAGAATATAGATGGCGTCGTGACAAACACGCCACCTTGTGAATATCTTAAGCTGATGAGACTTTTCCTCTTTCGAGAATCTTTGATTTTGAATCGACTCGGATTATTTGTTGAAATAACTATTGTTACAATGTTTAATCTTGGATTTTCTAATTAATTTCACTTTGATATTATTTCAAAGAAATTATAGAAATCGATTTTGAAATAAAATTAGACATTTAAAAAAATTAAAAAAATTATAATTATTTAAAAAAATATTTAAAAAAAAAATTGTAAGTAAAATTAATAAGAATTTATTCATCCTTCAAAATATTAATTAAATATTAATTATTTTCATTGTAAAAATTAATTTTTCAATAATACTAAATATCAAAATAATTATTTAATTCTTAAGAAATAAAATTCTTGAAAGGATTAAATCCAAACTGTTTTGCTTTATAAAATTTAAGTTATAATACGGTTTTTAAAAATTATTTTTTAAAACTTGTAATAAGCATCATAACAATAATTATCCAACAAAGAATAAAGGTGAAATCATAAAAAGAGAAACAAACTAAGGAACATCAGAAGCGTTTAAAAACAATCGCTCCATTCATCTTCGTCTCTTTTCTGTCGTAGGAGCATTCACAATCCTCGTTTATATATGACTCTTCCTTTCTATTGTAAAAGTAGACAGTTCGAAAGGAAGCGGCTGAAAAGATGAAAAAAGAGAATGAGAAAAATGACTTGAAGTTTCAAACATGAAATACATGTTTATCACTGCAAATCCGGTTAACATCAACAACCACAATCTCTTTTGCAAACATGTCACTATGTGTATTCAACTATTTCACCGCGTTACTAATTACATCGTACTCAGCCAATGCTATCGTCTTCGACAGCCATGACCGAGTTTCCTTTGCGTGGCTTTTTCCCTTTACATTCAGCCAACAAACAACTCGCGGAAGAAAAGACGATGACCTTGCTCTTTCGACTGCTAACACGTATACCTTTTCATCCGCGGATAAGGTTACCACTCTTGCGTAAGCTAGCGTCAAAGTACTGAATTCAATTTCACCGAGAAAACCGAGGGTAGTTTTCACACTGTTTCTTATATCTTTCTTCATCTATTTTAACTTTAACTTAGTGACGTAAAGCAAAAGTGAAAAGAAAGAATATGAATTGTGCAAATTTTAAGGTTATTATGAAGAGAAAGAACACGTGTAAATTTTAAGATTATTATGAAAAAAAAGGAATGAATCAAATTTTAAAACTATCTTGAAATATTTCTTATACTGTGATTTATAGATGTGAAAAAGCAATGATATGCGCACATAATATTACACAAAACCATTTATTCAAGACTATAATTATGAATTAGAAGAAAACAAGAAAAATTTGAGAGAAGGCCATCTATTAGCAGAGTAAAACAAACAACTAATAGAAAAGTCCCTATGACGCGATCATCAAGACTTCTGATTGGTGGTCTAGTATAAGAACACATATTCAATATACGTAATATATTAAATATTAATATATTTATAAGATTTATCGAAGTATAATTTTATAATTTATGATTTAATTTGATATTAAAATTGAAAATAAATCTATCCTTAGATAGCAAGCTCAATTATTATTAATTAATTCATTTAGTGTAATAGATGCATGTGAGAATATCTATGTATTTGTTATTGAAAAAGATATTTAGAGAAAGAGAGTAAGTTGTTGATTATTATTTTATATTTATTTTTTAATAATAATTTCTTCTTTTTTTAATAATTCCATATTTAAACATGGGATAATTAAACATATCTACACAATCTATCTCAATATTTTTCTGCTTTTTTTCAATTTTTTTTGTTTTCGACTCTTAACCTTTTGCGCCAAGCTTTCGCTTTATTTTTTCTTTTGTAGTCATATCACTTTCTTCTAGTGTTTCAATCTATTTTCTTTTATTTTTTTCTGTTATGTTGATCAGCTTCTATTCTATTCATTTTCTTTTCTATATTCATAATTGTGATAACATGATTATAAATAAAATATAATAAGGATTGTATGAAAAAAAAAAGAAGATATAATTTTATTAGAAATGCAATCGAACACGTTCTTCATATGATGTATCAGCAAACTGCTTCTCGAATTAAAATCTTTTAACGAGGGTCACTACGATCGACTGGACACTTGACCTCGTTGACCTGGTTTCCGGTATACTAGCGTCCTTGCTGACTGTCTTCCATTAGTCTTTTTTCGAGAGTAAAGATAAGACACGAAAAGAAAAATAGATTTCTTTTCTATTCTTACCTATTCTCATCTAAACTTATTATTTTTTATTTTTGATCTTCCTAAAATTTGTTTTTAAATTTTTAAATCTAATGATTCCTATTTGTACAACTATAACTCACTTTATTATCTAAATTTATAATTAATAAACCTCAATTGGTATTTTTTTATATCCAAATTTTCTATTTATTCCAATTTCTAGAATCAACTCTTCAAGTGTGTTATATACGAATATATTAACACGAAACTTATGAATAATAAAAATGCAAATCTCCCAGCCACGAGATCACTTTTCAATGTACAAAGAGAGTATTCGACTAAACGTGGAGGTAATTAGACTGGACGAAACTCGAGTTAATTGAAGAGCAGGCGACAGTTAACTGGAAGACACTACGCTGGACTATTGTATTCAGTCTATAGCCCTCTAAACCTCTCTTGCGAGTAGTGTTCTATCTCTTTACTTGCTAACCTTCCATCCCCATGGCCATTTTGCTTTAACCTAGTAACCAACCTTCTATCCCCTTAGCGGCTAGTGGATAACTCAGATTCTGAGACAAACTTAGTCAAAATCAGCTGAATATACAAGCACCACTGTTAAATGGTAATTAACCGAACATGGGATCATGCACAGTGGACATTTATCACATTTTGGAAATTAACTACGGTAATTTATACTTCAATTATATTTCAGTTTGATATTTTATGTTTATATTTGATAATTTTATTAGTGCCAGTGTTCCTCAACTCATGACTAAATTACGATTGTCTATTATTATTATTATTATTATTATTATACGTTATTTTAATTTATTAAAATAATTAATTTAATTATAAATGTTTAATCTTAATTATTGGCATTTATTTTTATTAATTTTTATTAATTTCTAAATTTTGCCTAATTTTAATTGATTTATTAGATTTAATATTTATATTTTTTTATATAAATTATTAATATAATTAATTTTAAAATCATAATGGAATTTTATTATTATACATCAAATATAAGTTTTTTATTCTTTATTTATTAAATTATGAATACTAAATTAATACTAATACAAACTTTAAGATTATTCTTAAAATTTTTAGTTGCCATTTAAATTTTGTTAGAAAATTTTAATCTGATAAAATCTGAATATGGCATTTATTCTAGAAAAATATTTATTTTCTTGATTTTTATATTATTTATATATTTTTAATATTTTCAAGTTATACATAAGTATTATAAAAGATTAAATTTCGTTTCCTTGAAAAATATTTTAATCTTTACAGAAAGAAAAAATTAAGAAAAGAAGATTTGCCAAATCATTTTCACTTATTCCAACGGCATCCTGTATCTTCTGCGAAAGGAGTTATAAGAATAGCCAAGGAAGAAAAAGAGTGTGTATGTGAAGATGGCCAAATAGAATTATCCTTTTTTTTTCTTTTTTTTTTTTCTTAGACTAACGTTATTCTCCCGCAACCAATATTATTCCAGACACGTTTCGTTTTCCGTTGGCCATTCGATGGAACCCTAAACGTCTTGCGTAACCGGAAGCCAGTCAGCGGATATCGACAGACAAAGCCACGACCGTAATGCAAATTCCTCGAATCGATTCTATAAGTTATTTTTACGGTACTATGAGTGTTCTTTGAGTGATTATACGATTATTATATATGTAATGAATATTTGTCCATGGTTATTATTCGTTGTCTCGTTGAATGATACGAGGGCCATCGGAAGTTAACAATGACGGAATTAATTAAAAAATTAATTAAAGATGAAATCAAGGATTAAGTAAATTAATTAAATTAAACATGTAGAGAATTGAGTAAGTCTACTTTTGTTGAATTTTTCTTTTTTTAATTAAAATTTCAATATGTTATTAGCTTAATTAATAAGTCTGATCTTAAAATTTGTTTCAAAAATTAAAAAATGTTTATTCTAATCAAATTTTGACACATTTAAAACGACACTACTTGAAATACTAATTACGTCAAATAATAACATATCATTTATTTCACAATTATTTCGAATAATTACACGAAATAATTATTTCAGATAATATGAAACAGTAATTTTACAGAACGGAACAATTATTTCAAATAATGTTGTTTCATAAATTTAATAGAAACAACAGAATTTAATATATGAAACACAATTTCTGTTTAGAATTATTTTAATGATTACTCCTTTCGCTAAATTTTCAAATAAACATAAAATATTTAAATCATTTTCAATTACTACTATTCCTAACAAATCAATATTATCCATATTTTCAAAAAAAAAACCAGTTTCAGCAATAAATTTTTTCAATTTCAATTTTTCATAATTTGTTTTCTAATTCGATTATAATAATAACAACAATAAAGAGATGATCCAATATCGAAATCGATCGGCATTTTGAGTGGCATCTAGAAATATCTAGTTGATATCTATCAACCAAACTTGTCTACTCGTCTATGGATCGTCTACTAATTAGTTGCCTGTTTCACTCACGTTTCTCTTCACCAAAACGTGTCATGCAGTTTGATGGCGGTTGGAAAATTGGACTTGCGGTTTTGAAGTGAATTTCGAAATTATCGCATAGACAGTGGTTAAATGTTTCAATTAATACGATATTATTTCTCGTACTCAGAAACAATGAGCATTGTTCTAAATTCTAGATATATATTATTCGTGAAAATTAATACTTTTATATATTTCTCGTAATTGAAGAAAAATTGAAAATAATTTTTATTTTTCAAGAATCAGATGATTATCAATATTTTTATAAATTGAATTTTTTCTTCGCAGTCTTTAGAAAATTTCAAGTTTTAAATTTATGAATGTTATTAAAATTTATTCAATTCTATATTTTTATATATTTTGCGATTCTTAAAATAATTTGTATTCTGGATGGAAAGTGTTTAAATTTTCGAAGCATGCTGTTGGACTGTGAATGAACACTGGTTTCTATTTACGACGATATTTATAACAACTAGGTTACTGGCTTCCGTTATTATCACTTTAGATGTGAAACGCTTAACTATAGTTTTAATTAAATGTTGTTACGCATTTTGTATTCTACTTCACATAATCGTTTCTTCTTTTTTAAATATTGTCTGTATTTTTTGATCTTTTTATCGTTTTCAATATTTTCTCATTTTCTTATAGAGAAGAATAGAATTACTTAATTTATATATTATTCAACAAACTTTTTAACTTAGCAATTTAAAATTGATAATTTTAAATTTAACAATGCAAAAATTGTCCCAAATAAAACTTGTATACATTGCAACGAATTTAATATAATTTAATATTGTCACTATAATGTTAAAAATTAATGAATATCATTAATATATATACATAAAAGAAGAATCACGCGAAAATTGCTCTTTTGCTGTGATTTCAGGCATTGTTTTTTCTTTATCAAAGGTCACTCTTCACCACAAACGAAAATAATATCAATCATTAGCGCAAGGACTTTTAATTTTAAACGTTCGAGGCTATTTAAAAGATAAACCTTACTACTGTTCGATTCATTGCCAGTTTCTCTGAACAATCTCTTTGTTCTTTCAAACCTATGACGAGATTGAGATACACATATGGTATACAATACATATTCTCATACTTATACCGACAATAAGTTATACATACATTTATACACAAAGATAATATATGTTCAGAGTACAATCATTGCAAAAGAATTGCAAAACAAATATAAGATAAAATGTGATACACTGTGATAATCGACCAGAAAAGTTAGTTAACCGATTCCTGATTATGATTGAACCTATAAATCAATATATGATGAAGAAGCAAACATGATAATTCAGTTATTTCTTGAACTACGTTTGTATCATTATATCATTAAATAATAGAATATAACATATAATATGAAAATTTGATTACTTATTTTTGAATCTAGAAGAACTCGACTCGTTTTAAATTTTCCAAAAATATTGAATCAAAGATAATTTTTAAGAATTAAAATTTTCTAAAAATTCTATCGAATCCAAGAATTAAATTAAGAATTCGAATTCTTCAAAAATCTTAGATAATCTTAATAATTACTTGGCTCGTGAGTTTCTCACAAATTTTAAAAAGAAAAAAAAAAAATACTCAAATCTCTTTTTATGCAACGATAAAATTTACTTAATTACATTATTCCTAGAACAGTATATCGCATCGTATAATTTATATCCACGATGAATCGTTGGATCAGCGCTTGGACGTCTTTGTTTGCGAAGGGTTGCAAAGGTACATAAGAGTGCCTATGACTCATTCCAGGAATTATTTTTCGTGGCAGACAGGCTGATTTTCGATTGTCTAGACGGAATGTCTACGTACACGCAACTTCGCATGCTATTCTTCAATTCCTCTCTCTTTCCTTTTAATCCATATTTTATTTTCTGTAGAGATAAAACGAGAAACAAAGAATTACTTCATTTGAAATACTAATTAACAATAACTACTTTCTTAAAATTAAAAAAAAAAAATTCGTTATTATACATACCGCCATTTTTTTCAATTATCGAAAAAATTTCTAGAACGCTCGTTTGATTAAATGACGAAGAAAGAAAAATGGAATAAATAATAAAAAAAAAAAGTTTCGTCGTTACAGCCATTTTCATTTCATCGAGATTCGAAATTCTGGAAGGATTTCATTCGATTAAATAGCAAGAAAATAGGAAGAAAGGGAAGAAGAAGAAAAAATAAATTTCATCGATAAACAAACTAGGAAAATTACTAGACTCGCCTAATTGAACACGTGTATGCGCATTGAATGACAGGGTGTGGCCCTTTAGTTGGCGCACCCTCGTCTCTCAGCATTTCCTCCCGGACAACTTCTATCCTTCCATTCTCCTTTATCTCTTCCTGCATCTCTTATGTCTGGCTTATATTCCCTTCCCCTCGGATTTTTCAAATTATGACCATTGTCCAAAATCCCTCGTGAAATTTCCAGATTCACAGCCGCTTGGAAATCAGTTCGTTTTATCTTGGATTTGGAAAATTTATGATAATAGTGTAATATTTATACAAAATATTTAATGTTGTAATTTCTAATTTAACTTACTATATTTAAAATTTTCGATGCCAAAAATTGAATTGTATCAGGAGAATATAATTTAACGTGTGGGTATGTCAAATTTCACTTTTTCTAGGATTATATTTTTCTAAATAATAATCTGAATGTATAAAAAATAAAAATTTAGAAGGAAATTTGTATTTTGAAATTCTTGAAAAAATTTTTGTGTGTCACTTCTTGTGGAATTATATTTCTCTTAATAAAAAATTTGGACAAAATGTATTTGGATAGCAGGTGGCATACGAAAATTTTCTATTATTATGAAAAACAAAATTTTTTATGAAATTTGATATACTTAAAATATGAAATACTTATTATTTACTTATTTACTGCAGTTACCATTTTTTCAATAGTTTTCTTAATTCTTAATTTTTATAATAAGCTGTCATTTTTTTTATAGTGCTCATTTTTCCACAATTTTTTGAATTTTTAAACAATAAATCAAGATTATAAAATATTAGATAAGACATATTATATTTTATTTTTATATTTGATGAATTCAAAAGATACATATATATATACTATTCTTTGATATAATTATTATTTCAAATAAATGTTTATCTGCAAAATTCTGTATCATTTGAAAATAAAAATATTTCTATTTATCTGTTCTCTACTTCCTTTAACTTTCATTTAAAATATAAACAATTATATAGTCATCAAGAAATTACGTATGTAGATTACTATGTTTCATCTATATCCACGTTTGATCGTGTTATATTCTTGTTATAACTAGAGAAATGTGTATTATGAATCATAAATTATTCATCTTTTAATAAGCAGTATATCATATTCATGAGATTAAATTGTAATATCTGCAAGTATATATGCAAAATTATCGAATCGATAATTTCAATATAATCAACGGAATAGATTTGAAGAAAATACGATATATAATAATATTATAAAATATTTTTTCAATTAAATCCGATAATTGATGTTTTATTGTATACGTATATAAATTTATGAAAAGAAGTTAAAAAAAATTGGAAAAAAAATAAGATAAATAATAAAAAAAACAACTTGAAATCAATCGCATGTTTGAAACGACAACTCATCAAATATTCATCGTGATTTCAATGATTCCTATAAATTTCACCTATATTTCGTGTCGTATCGAATATAAAATTTAGAATAAGGAAATATTGCGAGCATATATAGAGAAATAAACGCTTGAAAATAGTCTCCTGTCGTGAATGCTCAACACGTACAATTTTTCATCGTTATCAAGATGATAAATTCTTTCGAATAAATTTTAAAGCCAGCTATTTTTCACTTTTCATTCCAAATTTGCTCCAATAGAATATAATAAATATATATTATTAATACATTCGAGAGACATTTTTGAAAAATCGATTTTAAGAGATCAAACAAACATAAAAGTATATAAAAATATTTTATTAACTGATTGAGTTTTATTTATTGAATTATAAATAATTTAAATTTGCATAAGATGCAGATATTTCGATTTCCGTTATATTGCTGTAAATAATCGTACAACATAAATTTACTAAAATGCTTATAATTTAAGAAATAAGCCTCAATCGATATTTTTTTATACTTTTGTGTTGTTTCTCTCTGGAATCGAAATTTATTCTACGAATATATTATTTTCTTCTTTTTCCATTGATGTTTATTGCTTCCATTCCTAGATGGGTGAACAAAAATAAATGAATAAATTGCATTTTAACCAATAGCAATGGTTACTATTAATCGATACTTATCTTCCGTTGAAGCAGCGGAAATTTCTCATTTCATTCCGGAAACGTTCCTACCGGACATTACTGAACCCAATGGGGAAAATGAATGACCGACGATAAATCTTGCTTCGTGGTTTCGATCCAACTGCAACTAGGATGTGCAACGTGGATTCAACTCTGCGATATGAATTCACTCGAACTGATATTGGGGCAATCGTTTTTCGATCGAGTTGTGGACAACAATAGAAATATGAATTAATTTCCTTTGTAATGCTAGGATGATTGATGGAATTATGAAAGATAGCTTGTATCGTTCGGGAAAATAATTGAAATTAAAATTAAAATATTTCTATAAGCATAGACTATTTGAAAATATAAAAATAAATAAAATAATATTTACATGTATATAAATTGTATGAAATCACCATTTCAAAGAAAAATTTATTTTCAAAATCCTGTATCACTTTAATAAAAATATCTATTTTTTCTCCATTTTGATATTTTCTGCCCTCGTAATATGCAACACCATTTTCTTTCAACAGATCATCCGTCACTCGTATTAGAATATTGCGTCGTTCATTTGAACCATAAATGTCGCGTTTGCTGGACACGTGGCTAGTTATGGTCTTGAAACTGTAAAGAGGTATAGCAGTCATGAACAATTAATCTTCTCGCATAGTAGTTACTTTCAGAGGAAAGTTTACATCGACATTCGAGCACTACGGTGAGATACGACACGCATTCAAGAAATGGTATACACGTCACGTAAACGCGTACCATCTCGTACGAGTCATCCCTCGGATAGATCTGACGCTCGTTCGCGACTGTTTGCAAGAATTGTTCGACGTTCTCTACGATTGTTTTGAAAGTCGTAACTCTCAAGCACCACCATCTTTCGAAACGTGCGTTGTTTACATTCAGTTTACTTAACTAGAATCTAGGCCAAATTTGTCTTGGCAGTATAATATCAAAATATTTTCTTCAAATATTGTAATAAACTGTTAAATATTAAATAACTTTAACTGAATAATTTTATACAATATAATTATAATTTTATATAAAAATTATAATAATATTATATTTGACTATAATACTATTTGAGATAAAATTATAAAACAGAAGTTTATAACCTACAAGTTAAACTTTGCCAATTTGGTAATATTATTAGTTCATAATATTACCACACCAGATGACAGTAGAATCGTTTCTAGTTACATGTTTCTTAGTATATAATTATGAGAGACGTATTTTATCTTATTGATAATTCTGTAGTTTTATGAATTATTATCGATTTTTCACTAATTGTTCTTTTTCTTTTTGAATGTTTGTTTCGTAAAATTGTAAAATTGATAAAAAAATAAATATATTGATTAACTATATTGATAACTAACTAAAATTTTCAATACTATATTTTCCCATATAAATGATATTCGTATTTCTTCACTCCGCAGACAGAAATTCTATCATAAATCTTCTCCCTACATTTGAATTTCCGAACAGATGCCATTTCACACAGTTTATCCATGATGCACTTAGCTAAGTTCAAATTACAAGACTATGGAAGTATACATACTGAAGCACATAACCTATATAAACATGTATGTATGTATTTCCTACAATCTTTAAAATATTATTTTAAATTTTAATTAAAATTTTATTAATCAATGAAAATAATATTTTGTAAATTTACTTTCAAGGAAAAGAGTTCAAAGAAATTGTTACAGGTTAAATTAAGAACTATTTTAGGTTAAATTAAGAATAAAAAGGCTTAAGTTTTATTAAAAATGCTCAATTTTGAGGATAACCACGAAATGAATCCTCTTTTGAAAAAGAGTCTTAAGGAATCTTTTAAGAAAACAGAATTCAAAGAATTTCTAAAGTTAACAGAATAGCGACTCAATGAAGCGTCTAAAGTCGATTCTTACCGATACATCCAGGACTTGTAAAACGTACTAGTCGTCAAGCCCGTCGGAGGAATCTAATTTTATAACGACCTATATTTAGCTGAAACTTATTCCAGCAACGGCGTGCACCGGGTCACCGGACTTCTATTTTACCAATGCGATATCTCGATCCAGCGTTAGTCTAAACCGAGAACTAGCAGACTTTGCTCAACTACCAAATAGCCTTTAGTGTTTTTATTTTTGTACTACTATGACTGATATGAATATGTAATACATAAAATAGAAGTATTGAAAGAATGGCTGTTTTTCTTAGAGGAAAAGATTTAGAATTCTTTTTTTATGTTCTAGTCACGTGCAGAAGAGGAACTTATTTTCAATGTAACAAATGAAGAAAGGATTTATTAGACTTTTTTATGATAAATCATTTACAATTATTATTGTATTATCCCCATTATTTTATACCATGTTAAGAGAAATGTATGTTACGTTCAGTTTTTTTTAATAAATTATTAAAATCTGAAATGTCTATTCATTTGACATTATTCTATTTTACACAATAATTAATTACTAATAATTAAATATTGATGAATTGATAATTAATTCTATATGAAATATCATCTTAATACTTACAGAACTTATTTATAAAATGATTTCAAAGACATATAGCATGATTTATAATTATTAACAATTAATAAGTTACTGAGTTGATATATTAGATTATTCACATACATTGGCTTCTTTATTATAATTTTATAATTTTAAATAGAATAATTAGATAATTAGAAAATTTTTTTATCTTATTGATATACTTTTGTTGTTGAATAACTTTTATTGTTGAATAAAATTCAAAAAATTCTTATTAGTAATGAACTTGTGATTTATGATTTATAAAAAATAATATTAAAAATTAGTTTATTACAGTTTGATTGTGTTTATTTAAAAGCATCTTGATATTATGTAGCATATATTTCAACCATGAAACACTAGTAGAATCACTAGTCACCCAGCTCTCAGTCATCGGACAACAGAATTAAGTGTCGCGACTTCCTGGGTCAAATGCATTCTTGCTGAGACGATTACTGTCGCCAATAAGACCTGGACCTTTTAATTTACCGTTAAGTCGAACTCAGTGACTAATCGTTAGTTTATCGAGTCATCGGCCACTAAAAGTCAAGTGTCTTATCATCGTTCTCGTGATGAAATTATTTGACATCTCTATGAATTATTCGTTTTATATTTGTCCAATCAATTGATATTAAATCTGAAAAATATCAAAAGCATTTTTTTTAAAAATTATCTTTTTTATTTATTATTCTCTTATATTATTTATATTCTCTTATATATAATAAATATATTTTCATATATTTTTATTTCATTATATTCTTTTCTAATTTTTAAATAAAAAAATATTCTGACTTTGTTTTTTCTAAATTTTTAGATTCTAAGAAATATATTATTAATTTCAAATTTTTGTCGATAGTGTAAATTTATAAAAGAAATTAATTTAAAGATTGATAAAGCATTGGAACAAACATTACTGGCTATAAATTTGATATTTAACTTGTCTCATAAATCTAATAAAATTAAAAAATTGCGATTAAAATGTTTTTTACCATAAAAAATTTTTTAACAATATTATGTATATTTAAACAAATTAAATTACTATTAATATTTATATTATACTATTAATATATATAATTTCAAATAAATAAAAAAAATTAATAAAAGATTTAATTCAAACTTCAAATTTTTAATCGATAATTACATATTAACAATATTAAACATTTATGTCGTAAATTTTGACACCATATGAATTTAGATGACACTTCAACGAATCCATGCATCTTAATAAATGAATTTCTTGGTAAGCAATTAAATCTGTAAATTTGTGGCATGACAAACACGTTCTACGAACAACTTCGAATAAATACATTTATAAATAGGGAAGAATGAAATAACTTATTGGAAAAAAGTACAAGTTGAGTAAATTGAAAAGAATTAAATCTGGAAACCGATTCATATAAAATTGAATTTATTTTATAAGAAGAAAAAAATATTTTCTATTTTTAAGTATTAGACTACATCCATTGAATTGAATTTTCTGAAAAGAAAAACTTCAAAATATGAGATAATGTCTAAGACTACTTTTTAAAGATTATTAAACATATTTGTTCTTCTTCATAAAAATTAAAAATGATACCAATAAGATGATCATTATAAACAATTATATTTTTGATCCAATTTTATTAAACTATTATTTTAATATAAATATTTTAAAATTAGAAAAATATTCAAATGAATAATAGAAATAATAGATTAATTATTCTGGATTAATATTAAAAATTATTATTTTTCATAAAGATTTTAAAATTGAAAAGTAGGATATTGCAATTTAATTTTCTATAAAAGTATATAATTTTTTAAAAAAGTTATTTCTTCAATTTTTCACTTAAAATAAAGTTAATCGCATTTGAATTAAGATATCATTAAACAAACTTCAATTAAAATACCAGATGTTCTTTCTAACAATTTCATTTAATCTTGGTAATTCCAATAAAATTTTCTTTCTTTTTCTTCTAATAATTCTTTTTAAGAATTTTAAGTATAATTACCCTGTTCAAAAACTTACAGTATTTTATGATATCATCTATAATAGACCATATATTTTCAAAAAAAATTTTCCAGAAATAAGATATAAAATAAGAAATGACTTGATTGTTTTTTTTTCTTTTTTTTAAGGAAATGCCCTTTAGAAGTATTTAAGGGGTCGCGTGAACGTCAAGTACGTTTATTAGCCGCGAGACGCAACTTTTACGAGCATTACTTAAAAATGAGAAGCCTTGTGGCGTTGGACAAGGGAATGCCTTGTTCGTTGGACAACCTCTTTTCACGAACATGGACTTTTCTGCCACTTGAGAGAAGCGTTTTCAGCTTCTTGACACTGGTTTTTTACGAGCTTGAAGATACCAACATTGAATGATTGGTTAATAAAATTAATACCAAGTATTTGGACCCATAATTCTCTCACAATCAAATCGATATTGTTAGTAAAAATTTATAACTATTAACAAATTAATTAATTAAATTTTTTTAAATTAATTAAAAAAATAGTTATACAAAATTTTTTAAAAATAATTAACATATTTTTCTTTCTTAATTATTTAATGAATAAATCATACATGAGTAATAAAATTCTTAGTCATATGATTAGGATATGCGTAATATCAATGAAATTTAACAATAAGAAACGAAATCACTAAATATATACTTCCGCAAATAATTGCACAAGTTACAATGAATCAGAAAACATCCTGTTTCATTCATTTACGTTTACCATCGATATATTGCGCGTCTTTCTAGGTGACGAATATTTATAAAAAACATTCATATTTATAAAAAAAAGTTTCAATATTGGTAAATAAACTTCACAAATAATGGTTATTATACTGTACTTTCTACTAATATTTTTATATTTTCTAATAATACATCTGTACTGAAATATTTTCATCATTAAATTAATTTATTACTCAACAAAAAATTGTTTTTCATGTTAAAATTATAAAAAAATAAATAAATATAATTTAATACAAAATCTAAAAAGATTGATTCAATAATTAATTGATCCAAAATTAGTTTTATTAATAAAAAAATAACCAATAACATATTTACGTTAAAATATTTTTGTTAAAATTAATTCATAATTTAATGAAATTAATGCAAAAATTAATTAGATAACTTATCTTGGAATAAATTCCTTTATCTCATAACCACACTACGATCTTTATAATATTCACTATGAGAGATCGTATAACCTCTCCTAACCACTTCTAACCTAAACAAAGGAGGTATTCTACAGCAGCAGAGATTTTGTCACGAATATTTAATCGTCGAATAATGAGTGGAACGTACCGAAAGATTACAGCTGCTGCTCGGAGACAATCCACTGTTTTACGAGACGCGTGTCGGTTTTGGTACATAAACCTCTTGGGATCCGTATCCTCCGCTGCCATAACGTATATCCCCGTGAAGGACGACTTAAACGAATTTTGTACCCAAGCCCGAAAAGCCGGCTGTGACAACTATACCGCCCGCTCTTTCGACTCGCTATGTAAATATTTGTTACGCTGAACGCGAACCATAAGGAAAGAATAGGTCAACGAAATAATGCATAGGTGTACGTGTTGAATGTGTTGCTACGTGTGTCTCGTGGAAGAGGGCATAGAGGGCGCGTTAGGAAAAAGAACTAAAAAAGAGAACTCGGTGGGCAATATAGTTTTGTATATAGTATGAGAGGCAGAGATAGATTGGAAGGATCGAAATGCAGAGAAGAATGCATAAGATAAATAAAGTAATTTAGTGATCTTGAATATATTTTCCGTTAACTTTGATAATAGAAAAAAATAATATGATACATTTATCGTTCGTAAGTTGCTATTTTGATTGAAATAATACTTCGTATAATATATAAAGCGAATCTATTTATATTTAATCTATTACTTACAGTATATACATTTTATATAAGCTAATACAAAAATATAAATGTCTCAATTGAATATTTTCGTTAATATAGCTTATATATAATAATAATATGTTATATAATATTAATACATTGGTGTATATGAAATTTCGTTTTTTTTGTAGAATTTAATTTTATATATTTAATATCATCCATAATTGAATACTGATAAAAACAACTCGAGTTAATTTGCATAATCAACGAATTCGCAAAATTCAATAGGCACATATCTAAATTCAATAGCTCTTTGACAATCAAATCTGAATCGTGTGTAAGATCGAGATAGGTCACGCGTGACTAGATGGTGAACAGAGAGTCAAAGAATAGTTCTCAATTTTTATTCGATCCGTGCGAAACGGCCAGCCTGGCGTAATTAGTAACACATGTGGCGAACGAACCGCACCCATTGATTGACTGCCAGACGGGAAGAACTATCCCGGTGCATAATTCCATGAAATTTAAAAGAACATGGAATCCATGAAAAATCGATCGCCAAGATATTTCTTTGGCACAGTTGTTCCCATCATATGTCTCAATTGATCAAAAAATTTATGGTATTATTTTAATTTATAGTCACTCATAAAATAGAATAAGAAAAAGTTTTATATATTTTTGATCACCTCATTTAACGTAATTTAACGTACATTTTTAATGCAAAAAAAAGTTATTTACGTTATTTTATAACGAGATTTTTCAATTTTATGATTAAATAGTAGCTACAATAGAATAATTAATCATATATCATAAAAAATAATCTTAAATCGATTCTTTTTATCTTTGGTATTAAATATCTCATTAATTGCAAATGCTCATCCCTAATCTAAACTTAATTTAATTTAAAAAAAAATAAAAGCAAAAGCAAGAACTTAATGAACATAACCTATATTCAAATGTAATTCAATTTTATTAAAATAAAGATATCGATATTATATAAAATGAAAAACAGAATAAGAAAATATGATCCAACTAAAATGTAATTCAATATAGGTTAGGATTGCATGCAATTTAAAAGCCATCATAATTATTTGAATAAAATAGAGAAGAAAAATCATGAAAAAACCATTAAAAAAAAAAAAAAGAAAAAGAAAAGAATAGAAAAAAAAAAAAATAATCACAAATATCAGCTGTGAATTTAGGTTTTGGATATAGCATATACTATATTCATGGTGAAAGCGAATTTCTATGGAAATCAACATACAAGATTGCAATGCAGAATTGTATACACTCATCGCTATCGAAATTGAACGAAATTTCGATTTTTTCTCTTCGATTGGAAACTTTTTATTTAACTTTGAAAAAGTTAATAGTTTTCATTGTTTTATAGAAATTTTGATAAAAAATTCACCGATTCGATTTTTATGCCAATTATTTAATTAGTAGACAATAGTTTTTCATAAACTTCTGGTCGATTATCAGATATTAATTTTTACAGAAATGTTTTAAAAATAATCAAAGAAGTTTTTTATTTAAATCAAATATTTATACGTTTACTATTTTTAATTAAAAAAATATTTAATTTTATTTAATTTAAATTTATTTAAATTATAATTTATATTATAATTGTCAATAACATAAGAATTTGAAGTTTTTTGATATAAATAAATCACGGAAAATAGCCATTGATATACATATTTATCTGAGGGAAGATTCGAAGCAATGAATTATCCAACAGCGGTGGTGAAAGTGTCGTGCAAACTGCATGAATTACGCTCGGCGAAGGAAATTGTATCAGACTTTCAGGGTCGAGCGTAATTGCGATGAAACTTTGTTTCATTAAAACCAGTCCGATCCCACCGTAATTATACATCACCGGAATCACTTTAATTTTTAACATGGAGAACAGAGTTACAGTTAACACGAGAATCAACAAAGCATTATAAAGAATTTCTTTATTGTTAAAAAAAACTTTTTTCTTTTTTTTTTTTTTTAATTATTCGTATTATATTTACAACTGATTCTGTTGAGCCAATCAAACAAACACGCATGCGCGTGGATCACGATTCAATAATAATTTCATTCTATTTCATTTTAACAGTTCGCGAGACTTCGTTCTCTTTTTTAATTTTTTAATTTTTTCTTGTCAGGTTTTTAGCCATTTAAATTTTTAGAATATATCTCTAATTTGTTGTTATATATGATAAATTTTTGAATTTTTTCTATTCTCACATTTTCGTCTTATATTTTATTATTCTTATATTTTATCTGTTCTTAACTCTTGAGATTTTGGAATCTTTGTATAATGCTCAAATAATATATTATTTTATATAATAACGAGAGAAGAGATATAATTTTCTCATTTTCGAATCTAATTATATATTTTTTTTTTTTTTCTTTTTCATGTGATCTTTCGATGTGAAAAATCCGTTTGTCGAGATATATCATTTTTTCTCGTTTATTTTAATTTTCAAATATGCAACACGTTTGTAAAAGTAATGCGATTACATTTATTTGTATTAATTTTGATCTTTCATTTTTTTTCGGCCCATTCAACTGTTTTGTTCAGATATTATTTGTAGGAATGTGACAGGAATTTTTTGAGAGACAGCAGTAAAGTCCTTTTTGACTTTAAATATATCTTGCATATCTTCACAAAGTTATGCAGAGACTTACGATCCGTATCATTGGTATGAAAATATTTATTATAAATAATTACAATTTAATAATTATACTATTTTTTACTTTTTGTACTTATTTTTTATGATTTGCTTTAATTTATTACAATTAATAATTTTGTATATGCATTTTTTTAAATTTGTATTTTAATGTATTTAAAATTTTTTATTTATTCCATATGATATATATATATATATTTATATATATTTTTTTAAACACTTACATAAAAAGAATTATTAATTGCGTCAGTTTATTTGTTTGATATAATCATTCTAATTTTTTTTTTTTTAATTTTAAATTTTATATTAAAATTTGGATTTAATTCAATTTCGCACGTTTCATGTACAAAATCTTATAAAATATTAAATCTATGCTATCTCTTGTTCAGATTTTCAAATGTATCGAAAAATGAATTAAAGAAAAGGTTATTCTTTTCACGTCGCATGGATACTAGCGCCATCGAGTAGCTAGCTTTGGAATATGACGATATATCGAAATAATTAATTCGAAGTTGAAGCGAATTGAATGATATTGAAATAACTGTCGAAACAGTGTTTATTTATTTTTCACTGTCGTGAACCTGCTTGTTTTTTAATCCCCTCTATATTAGAGAACGAAGTACAAAATGTTGCAAGCTTGTTTTTGGAGTTTGATGACTATTTCTGGGAAAGTAAGTTTAAAAGAAAAATTATTATTTATTATCCATGATGATCTCGTTCGTTAAAATCGGATATCGATCAATCTGTCGAGGGATAAACGATTTTCTTGTGTATTTCGTTCGATTGTTCGATTCGATTAGCACAACTAAAGTTTTCTTTTTTTTAAATTCATCACATTCAAAAATAATAATAAATCATTTGCCATTTGATTATATCATCTGTATCCGATTTTTACTGACAGGTTTAAAAACCTGTAGAATAATAGAAACAAATATCTTTTTAAATAACACTTTCCTTCCCCGTTTTTTTACCAGCCATCACGAGAGAAACGTATCATACCTAGCTTGATAGCTGTACAATTAAACAGATATTCCACTTTAGAGGCTGATCTTGTAGTGATAGGAGGTGGGCCTGGTGGTTATGTGGCATCGATTAAGGCATCACAGTTAGGAATGAAAACAATTTGCATAGAAAAACAGGATACATTGGGCGGGACTTGTCTCAATAATGGATGCATTCCATCAAAATTTCTGTTGCACAATTCAAACTACTATGACCAGACGACTAAAAAAAATTTTCAAAGTAGTGGCATTACAGGTACAATCCTTTTCTTTTTTAAATAAATTTAAAAATTTAATTCATCAATAATTCAACTACGTCACTACACACTTTTTTTTCTTCTTCCTCTTCTTCTTCCTCTTCTTCTTCTTCCTCCCTTCGTTGACAGTCGACAATGTTAGAATCCAAATCGATAAATGCATGCAGCAAAAGCAGAATGTAATAAGATCTTTGGCAAACGGTATTATTCTTTTGTACAAAAAGAATAACATAAATTGGGTGAAGGCGCATGGAAAAATTACTAATCCGAATCAAGTTGCTGCGCTTAATCCGGATGGCTCGGTGCAAAGCGTGATTAATTCTAAAAAAATTATAATTGCCACTGGTAGCGAGCATACACCGTTATCGGGTACAAATATCGACGAGAAAGATATTATTTCATCAACCGGAGCTTTGTCGTTAAGCTCGACGCCTACAAAATTCGTGACAGCTGGCGGTGGTTTCGTTGGATTGGAAATGGGCTCAATCTGGCGGAGGTATTTTTTTTGTTGTTGATCGAAATTGAAGTAAGAACAATATCGATTTTTTTTTTTTAATTATTTGATATCATTAGACTTGGCTCGGATGTAACGACAATTGATTCTTCATCCACTATTGGCGGACCAAACATGGATAAGGAAGTCAGTACAATATTAAGAGATATTTTAAGCAGACAAGGCATAAAATTTAGAATGGATACGAAAATCACTTCTGCGAGCAAATCGGGAAACGATATCGTTGTTTCTCTTGAAAGCTCAAAAGATTCTACCAAAAAGGACAGTATATCTTGCAATACGTTTTTAATTTGTGTTGGCAGAAGAGCGTACACGCACAATTTAGGATTGGACAGTGTAGGAATTAGAAAAGATAATTTAGGCCGAATTCCTGTAAATAGCAAATTCCAAACAGAAGTGCCAACGTAAATGTGCATTTCTTTCTTCCCTTCTTTTTTTTCCATCTTTCTTTATCTTCTTATTCTTATTTTATACATGCATATGTGTAAAATTTAATAAAACCTTTTTATCCATAGGATTTACGCTATTGGAGATTGTATCCATGGACCTATGCTGGCTCATAAAGCCGAAGACGAGGCTGTTATTGCAGTTGAAAGCATTAAAGGAGGTAATCAGATATCAATATATATATATATATTTGTATACTTTGTATTGTAAAAAAATTTACAAAAATTCATCGCACGTTCATCCAGGTTCTACTACAATGGATTACAATAGCATACCCCACATAATATATACATATCCAGAAGTTGCTTGGGTTGGCAAATCGGAGGAGACTTTGAGGCAGGAAAATATCGATTACAAAATTGGAAAATTCCCAAACACGTCAAATTCTAGAGCAAGAACGAATCTCGAGACGGATGGTTTCGTTAAAGTATTGGCGGATAGACGTACGGATAGAATATTGGGGGTGCATATGATTAGCTCATTCGCTGGTGAACTAATTAACGAGGCGGCCCTTGCTGTGCAATGCAAAATAAAGTCAGAGCAAGTTGCAAGGACGTGCCATGCACATCCAGTATGTATTTTGAACCATTGTAATTTGATCGGTTGAATTGTCGAATATTGATTTAATTATTGTTTCTTTTTCCAGACATATTCGGAAGCCCTAAAGGAGGCCTGCTTAACCGCATATTTTGGAAGAGCTATTAACCTATAAAATAAAACTGTGAGAAACAGTTAATTCGATATAATTCAATCGAAGCTTCGACCTATTTGAAAACGTGTTTCATAAATACGCGTTATACTATTTAGATATCGTCATCATTTATATATAGAAAAACTTTAAGAGAATTTATTTTTTTATACATTATATTATGATATTTTTATTTATACGTCATTATGTATTTTATATATTAGTTTTCATATATTATAGAATACATTTACATTTAGATTCAAAATATAAAATATATTCAATAATAATAAACGATCGAATAAATGTGTATTTTATTACATGCAAACATAAAATTTAAAAATAAATTTGATTTTGAAAGAATCAACTGAAATCAGTTGACAGTAAATAAGAAGTTCTTGAGAAGAAAGAAATAAAATTAAATTAAATATATATATATATATTTATATATATATATATATATATTACGTATTTATCGATAAAAACTGACTTTTATTAAATTTTTTTCTGAAATCTTAAAATATAAATTTAGTATTCAAAAAATTATATATATTTTATTTTTATATTAATAAAAAAATAACAAATGAAAGACGTACAAAAATGTATTCTCTTTGATAAAGTCAGCTGATAAAAGTTCCAAGAACGATAGGTCGATAACATCGAACAATACTAAATTCCGAGTATATGTTTGGTGCCTAGCCAAGGTTTTCCGTACACATATCACTTCTAAAACGAGTTTATAAACATAAAATTGCTCTTCTACGTTTTATATTTAAATTTGTAAAACATTTCTCCACCGATTATTAATTCGTATTTATCTATTATCTAAAATTAGTTCATACAACAATTGTACAACATATTATTCCACTCGAAAATTCAATTTGAAGATACAAACAATCCGCAATTCTATATCACGTTACAATCTATTATCTTTCTCTTCTTCACACACGACCTTATTCTTCATCTTTGTCTCAATGCTTCTTTTCTGCCAACAACTTTGCCACGTAAAATTTACTAGTCTTGTTTGATCATCAAAGTTAAGCAATGTCAGATATGGTTAGTTACTCGATTACCGCTTGAGAACACCGTGATGTTGCTTCGGAATTTACTTTAAACTCTAGATCCCTAGTTAATGACCAAGCACTTAATAATGGTAATGATAATAATAATAATAATAATAATGAGGAATATCTGAATCTAACATTCGAGTATCTAAATTTTAATTCATATAGCGATTATGAACTTGGAAAGTTTGTATATAAATATGAAGCTTTTTTATAATTTTTCAATCTTGAATATCGAAACATTACAAATTTGCGGAATCTTGACCGATTCTGAGAAAAAATTTTCCATTTGAAATATGAACATTCCTAATATTGCAAAAACGATTCAAAATTGTATTGAGAACATGAAAAACTTTGGAGAATAATTTCCTCTTGCAAAAAAATTTTTCGTCGACGAAATAATTGCTTCGTATATAATCTATTATGCTCTATGTACGAATATTCGTTAAAACTTATTATAATTTTTAAGTTTTAAGTGAGCTTTATGTATAAGATATTCGAATATATATATGTGCGTGGTGTGACGCATAAACACTTCCATTTAGTTACACGCAAGAACGTTTGTGTGAGTCACGTGGATCGGTGTCGTGTCCAGGATTGCCTAGCAAAAACTGATCGTTGGAAGAGTGGGACAAAATAGTAATAATGGTGGAACTTAGGAAAAATGAAGAAAATAACAAATATCTTATTTGTATTGTATTGCGAACACACAGATGAGCAAAATTTAATAATGAAGAATAAAGTTCAATAAATTGCTTTAACAATTTATTGAAAATTCAAAAATCGAATAACTGCAAATAATTATAGTGCCAAACGACCGAGATTATATGAATCAACTATAATACGAATAAATGTTATTCGAGCATTTAAATAAAATAAATAAAGTAATTTTTAACTACTTAATTTTTCAACGGATTTAAAAAATATCGCGTGAAGGTAAGGTAGGAATCTTATCAAAATGATATAACGAAAAAACCCGTTATTTCTTTCATCTCTTTCTTCAAGTTTCACTACTATTATTACTTTCTTCCACTCTCTTCCAACGGTTAGAGTTTGCTCGACAAATCTTTCATCGTGTTGAATAGTATAAACGGACCCTTACGCGTTGACCAGACGCATTGACCAGACGCGCATATATCTATACGTACATAGAGCGCAAGTGCGTGTGTCACATCTTGACACACAACCGTAGAATTCTGTATACACGCCGGCGCTTCCTGCAGTAAAGTTAACGACCTCGATTGCATATAAATGCCTGGCTTAATGGTTTCGAAGTAAGGCCGAAGGCCTCAGCTGATAAAATCCACTCTCTCCTAGCGGCGTTTACTACTACGCCCATTTAAGCCCATTTCACACGGAATCTTTCTGTCAGCTTTTATCTATGACATGATGATATTTGTTATTGCGTAATCACTTTATTTATTATCGTAATAAATTGTTAGTTAGTAGAGATACACTGTTCATCCGCAAGAGAAGATGAAGATAAAGAGAGAAACAGAAAAATATGGCTACCACTTGCCCCACTACCTGGCATCCATATTTCGCGTCACACGTAATTGGTCGAATCGTCTGATGAAAAAAACAATAAATGTATTGAATATGATTGGAACAAATGCGATGAATATATTTCAAACATTTATCTCGTTAAGCAGAGTGTTAATTATTAAGAAAATATATTGTCTTCATACAAGAATCTTATTACTATATCAACATATTAGTATTCGTAATGTACTGAGGCGAGAATCTCCTGTTTGTTTTCTGCCATTTCACTTGCCATCTTCTCGTGGATGAACAGTGCTATTATATGCCATTCGATATTGTGTAAGAATTTACTGTACAGGATGTTGCAATATTCGTGGGACATTCTTTTGGAGAGAGAGATTTTAATTAACGTAATTACGTGTTTCGAAGTAGTGATAGTAAAAGTTTGACTTATAAAGTAAATTTCTACTCGTCGAAATTGATTCTGCTCTGAAGTTTGCAGGTTAAATAACACACTTAAACACGTGACAGATAATTCGAGTTAAAGTTAAGTTCACGTCTCGATTAGAGAGAATAAATAAATTTTTTTTAATTGTTTTGTAAATGTAAGTGTTTTTCATTTGTTTCATTTTCAAAATAAAGATAGATTTGTCCTATTTTTTCTAACCTAACCTAAATTCTTTGTTCTTTTGTGAAATATTCGATAAAAATATGCATTGGGAAGAAAGAAATGAACAATTACTAACCTAACCTAAATTCTTTGTTCTTTTATGAAATATTCGATAAGAATATACATTGGGAAGAAAGAAATGAACAGTTACATAGGAAAGAGGGTTATGATGACGCAGGCGCTACTATACTGAAAGCACGTAGTCAATATACGCGTTATTTTGTACGTGGAATCGACCCGTATTTTGGCTTTTAGTCATCGTCACACATTTACAAATCGACTCACTCACGACATGCATCGACTCACTCTGACACACGCATGAAATAATATTACATATACGTGTTCAATATTCACGCAAAAAAGAAGAAAAACCACTTACATTTAGAACGTATTATAATCGCTTTTAAACTCGATCAAACTTTATAAAACTTGAATGACTGGTAAATTATGTATGTATTGAAAAATTATTGCATGAAAGAAGTTTCATAAAAAAGAGCATAATGTATTTTTTTTACAGATGGAGGCAATTTGAAGTTTTAAAATCAATTTTTTTTCCATTGTTGAATTCTAATGATTATCTAGGTTCAATCTAGTTTCTTCACTTTAAATTTATTTTAATATTTTTTTTTTTTAATATTTCTAAATTTTTAAAAATTTTTTAAAAATTTAAGATATTTATTAATACTTACAATATCGAGTTGGAAATTGAATATTAATAGAATATTTTTAATAAACGTATAAGAGAGATCAATAGTTAGATATTAAATTTATAATATTAATATAAATTCAGAATTTTTTCAAACAAAAAATTCTTTGAATATTCTTTTGTACACTTATTATTTTCAAACTTTTCATTTTTTTCATTTAACGATTTTTTTTGGTAAGATAAATAAATTTTAATTAAAAATAACATTAATAAATTAATGATAAAAATCTACAAAAAATTAAATATTTTTTATCTTACATTTATGCTCTCTTTATCTCTCGTAAATATTACGCAATTAAAATTCAAATCTATTCTTTACAATCATTTTCAAATACTAGAATTCTAATATACTTTTTTTTGTTTATGCTAATCGATATATAAAACATTATTAGTTCAATCCAGAATTAAAGAATAGAAGAAACCATTTTTATATCACGTATTGATCATTTAATTTTGCCTAATAAAATTTTCAACATGTCCGAATATTAATGCCAGTCAAATATGATGAATAAGACAGAAATTGTTTGCCTAAAACTACAGATAAAAATCTGTCCTTGAACGTTTACATTCATAGTCCTTAATCCTTAATTTAATATTCTCTTAATATTCTCTTAATTTAATATTCTGTATCCTGTTTGACTTACTGTATTCTCCTTAGAAAGCTCAACTCTTGTTTTGAACTTTAACAGATTCCGTATGAAAAAGGAAAATGCTTTTCAACTTGTTTCAAAAAATAAATAATACTATATAATACAATTTTGATTTATTTTTCCTTTTATCTAACAATAAAAATAATCTATTATACAAAATAACAATTTGCTTATAGAATAAACGTCAATTTGATATGAATCATGATGATCATCTCAATTATTTAAATTAATATTTCCAATGATCTAAATAGAGGCTATACAAGGCCATACAAGTAAAGATTTTAAAATCATCACGTATTAAATTTATTGTATCAACAGAGACAAGTCACGTATTTATGGTGAATCATGAAAATATACGTATCCTGAAATTAATTTATAATTTGTTTAATTTAATCTTTTTATTTTAAAATGTTAGAAAAAAAAAATATCAAAAATAACAATATAGTTCTTATCCAATTGCAATCGTATGATCCACCACACGATTTAATTAGATGAAATTTTTTTATAACATAATTATACGAATAAATCATAATAATTGTATAATTTGTATTCTTCTACGAAGAAAAAAACAAAATTTAAGAAAAATTGCTTTAGTATAAAAAATTCAATATAAATAAAAAAAAAAAAAAAAACTCACCACTTTGTCATCCGCGTAAATGATCGAGGACCTCGGTGTCCCGGTAGCCATCACAATGAAGAGCACCATCAAAATCGTTCGAAGCAGTATCATCTTGCAAGTACGAATCCCTTTGTCGTTTTTAAAACTGACACCAATATATTTTTCTCACTCGCACGAATTAAATTCACACTATCGTTTCTCTTCAATATCAATCCTTCTTAAGACTTGAATTAAAAAAAAAAAACTAATACTGCACTATATCAAACCACACTCACGTCACAATAATAATAAAAAATGAACAATGTACAAAGGCGGCATTCATCGATTCACGTGGCACGGACGTTTTCGTTTCGCCAAAATTGATTTAAGCGTTGGATACAGTTTAGTCCGATATTTTAATTTATCTTATTCTATTTTATTTTATTTGATTCCGATCCGGATTAAGTTAGGTTAGAGGACACCGATGGTACTGGCGGAATCAAGGAACGAACACGGACGTGCTCGAACCGCCGACCTTCTTAGAAGAAGCACGATTTACTCAATATCTATCACCACGATTCGCCTCTACCTCTCTTGATTCAATAACGAGTTCGCGCTCTTCTTCTTCCTCCGTGAAAATCTGCCGACTTTCGTCAACTTGGCCTTTCTTCGACGTCGCCGCCGATGACGACGGATTCCAGGTTCGTACTTTCCTCCGTGTTCGGACTTTCCAGCCGCTACCACGTCCATCCGCCGACCTACGACAGTTTACATTCTGTAAATACTTGGTTGAATTTCTGAATTAACTTTATCTGAAAGTTGGCGCAATTCGACTCGTTCAGATCTTTAAACGATAATAAATTAACTATATTCTTTTTTCTTTCAAATAAAATCTTGAATAATATTATTTCGAGAAAAATTTCTCATATTATTCGACATCGTTGCGTGCTATGTTCAAATACATATATATTTTTGTGGTTCACAAATGATATCACGTTTCAAGGAAGAAAGAAAGGAAGTTGGGAATCATGTATTTTTTTTTTTTTTTTTTTACAAATACCTCGGCCGAGATACTAACAAGTTTTAATTCTAATTTTCCTTGTCCAGTCATAATATAGTTTTGATTTTTTTATTTTCATTATTTTTATATATAGTGTAAATATTTTTTTTAAATTTTTAAATTTTCTATTTCAATAAAAATGATAAATTTTGTCAAAAATAGTTGCATACTTTTAACAATTGAAAAAATAAAAAATCTGCAATATTTGACGACGAGTTTATAATCTCACGATGTTAAAATATGAAAAAAGAAAATTTTAATCGAATAATCGTATAATGTTTCTGGCCTACCAGCAGCTCTTTAGCGAGTAACGCATTATACACAACACGTACTACGCATGTCTACTTAATGATTAACGCTTTGACATGGGAATTCCCCTATCATCCTTCAAGTAGAAATAGGATATGTCATTACATAAGTATTTCCTAGAAATAAGACAACGAGAATACGTGGAATAAAAATAAGATTAAAAATCAACCACTTGAAATATGGTAACGAACACGATTAAGAATCGTGTTAGGATGAATTGCAAATGAAGATGATAGAAAAAACAAGACGAGTCATCAAAAAAAAACGGAAGTCGATGCTATGACAGGCCGGATACCGGAAGATAAATTCAGTCGAAGGAATAAGAATTGTTATCGTCAGAGGGATATCTGCCAACGCAGATTGACCTCATTTCTCGTATCGATAATTAAGAAAAGTTACGTATTTTAAATACAAATGATCGTTCGTTCAAATTTTATCATTTGAAAAAAATGCATTTTCAATTTTGATTCTTTACTTGAAGAAATATAAAATGAGAACAATCGATCGATCAATACTGATATCAAAGATAAGAATAAGATATCAAAATATGTATTTTTCAGAATAAAAAATCAATTCAAAATAATCATAATAATTGACAAATGATTGAATTAAAATTAATCTTATAAAAAAAAGAAAAAAAAAGAAGAGATCTACTCACTTTTCAAATCGGCGATCGATAAGACAGTTGAATTATCGTAAAAGAATCGTGGTACATTTCCGGTTTGTTGCAACGTATCAGTCGTACGTTTCCACGATGTATCATGATGATTCGTCGTTTCTGTAATCCTAAGTTAGTTTGAAGATAGTCGAAGAATCCTGGTTCAAGTTTTCGATGTATATTCCGATGAAAACACGTGGTTCTCGCGAGTGACTTCTCTTTTCTTCTCTTTATTTGTTTCTTTACACCTCGTCGAATTTATCTTAGGTAATCTTTGACGCGTGATTTCTTCCTTTCAATTTATCTTGATTTCTTTTTTCAATCAGTCGCCGTTGATTCTTCCGTTCGATGCTTCTTCGCTGTGAGCCTAGAAAATAGGAAGCACGTTGCACTAACGACATCTACGCTTGACGTTTTGGAAACGCATTGTTATCGAATGCGTAAGGATATTGACACGTTTCTTTATTATGATAAATATTTCCAGATACAACAAAAGATATACGAGCCTACAAAGAATATATCGTAACGATGCGATTAAACGACAATTGATTTAAATTCAACTATGATGTGGTATATATATTTATATTTATATTAATTATAATATATATATATATATATATATATATATATATATATATATATATATATATAT